GTCACACACAGACGAGCTCTTTTTTTTTCTTATCTTTCTCATTTTCTTTTTGACTTGAGCGCATATAACTTCAAATTAAAAATTAAAAGAAAACCCAAAGAAAACCATTTTGGGCATTCGGCCCAAAGCCCTAACTAGAAAATATATAAATATTTTATTTTTCTTTCTCATGCCCGAAGGTGTTCGGGCTATTTCTGTAATGGTTGGAAAAAATCGATTATTACACGTGAGATTTGGCAGGTGTTTTAGTTGTCAAACGGTCGCATGACCGAGCCGATCCTCTTCGGCTGCAGATCTAGCTGGGTTTTCTCATTTTTTCTTCATATGCGGCAGCCATGGCTGCTACTTAGTTTTCTTCTTCATGCGGCGATGGTTGGCCACTGCTTTTATTTTTTATCAACACAACACATTGTTTTTTCGTGCAATGGCTTTGAAGAATTTCATTCATGTATATGTATATACACGTATATATGTATACATATATGTATATATTTCTAATTCTAAATTATGAATCCACAATAAAAAAAAAACTTGAATATAAAAAATTCAATACGAGAAAAGCTTTGATACCAATTGTTATAAATTTTTTTCAAATAAAACTAGATCTGATAAATCAATATTGTATCAAATCAATGAGAAAGGATAAACAGAAGCATATTTGGATCCATCGCGGAAGATTTGATTGCATCATGCGGTAGATACTTCTGAATCAACACACGGGCTCAAAAATTATTTTTCTCTGGTGACAATATTTCAGAAAAATAAAATGGTGCACATGTAATTTGGAAACCATAACTGCTTATTTATATCAATATACTTTTGTATTTTTCATTTTATCCATCATAAAATAAAAAATTACAAAAATGGTATCTGCACACATTAAACTCATACCTAAATCTGATACATTATGGTCCAATTTCGTTTAACCGTATTTGATCACTTTTAAACGAACTTATAAATTGATAGTCTGTTATGTATAGTAAAACCCACACTGAGCTCATTTGTTTAAAAAACCTAAAAGGAGATTGTACCTAATTTTATATATAAGATAAAATAAGTATTTTTCTATTTAATGTCAATATTTTTAGAATTTGTATACTTTATCGAGGTCTCGCATACAATGTCTGTCGAATATTATTTACTTGTCAAATAAATTGTTTAGTTTATATTTCTTTTATCTTGCATGTACAAAATTAGTTACATTAAAAAAATAGCTTGATTATTTTGCTCTTAGTGTTATTATCTCCAAAATTTATATATATGCTTTGTTATGGACAATTAAATTTTTCATTCTCTCCTCCCCTTTATATATTTATTTAACCATTATATATAGAAAATTTAATAATGTATATTTGATATCGTATTCTTTTTAAGTAGAAAATTAACCAAAATATAAGAAAAAATAACGAAAATATAAGGAAAAGAAATAGCACTCATTGACTTAAGCACAAATGTTTTCGTAAAAACTAAACAAATTACTATCAAATCAAACACATATAGTAATTTATTCGATCTAAAAATGAAAAACAAAAATTAAATTAAAGCAAGATAGATGTGAAAAAATAATTGAAATTTATTTGATTACTTCACAATAGTAGTATATATATTATAATTATTATTGCCTTCTTACAAAAAGGAAAATAAATAAAGAAGAACAAATAAAGGACAAACGATGCAAGTTACTTTTGAAAATCATTATGCTCGACACTTAAATCGAGCAACAACCTATGTATCTTCCTTTAGCTCAAGCAAAACCTAAAATTTCTACCCAACTCAATCGCCCCAAGTCCATATCCTAATTAACCAAGCCTAAAGGGAATAAGTTTTGATACCAAAACTACATTTAATGGTGTTTCAATCCTCGATATGAGTACAAATATACTAAAAATTTTAGTTGTTTATGATATGGCTATGACAAAAAAAAATGTATTTTTTATTAATTTTTTTATTTATTTTAAATAGCTTTTAACTTTTAGTATACTTTTATTGATTTTTAATAAATTTTAAAATTAATGAATATCTTATATATTTTGTTTCAAATTGAATGAGACCGAAAAATATTGGTCCATTCTCGATCTCACAAAAATAAAAATGATTCCTTTGAGCTCATTTTTCTTATTTAGCTTCATATTTAATTATAGAGATATTAGTAATCTTAACATCTCTTATATTTGTCACAAGTTCAAATGTAAAAAAAATATCATAATTTTGTAATACCCGGGCCTAAAAAATAATCCGAGATAAATTTTTTATTTGTTAATTATTAATTTAAAATAATTGATTAATTTATTTTATTTTTATTTAAGTAAAATTTTGAGAAAAAATAAATTAAGGACGAGATTGAAAATATTTTTGGAAAAAAAGGGTGAAAATTTATATTTTAAATGTGTTTTTGAAAGAAAAATTAGAAACAGGAACCCAAAGTGTAAATAGAGAAAGTTCGGTTATGTAGGACTGCAGAGTCAGCAGTTTCGACGAATCGGAGCGCGCTACGTGGCAAGGCACGCTGACGTCAGTGCCACGCGGGAGGCCATACTAGCGATCCACGTGCCCCGCGATCGGACAACCTAAGATCGATCCTGCGTGCGTGGATAACCCAGATCTGTTTCTTCTTTAGGTGCGATTAGACGATTGAGATTAATCGCGATGAATGGTTCAGATTTGTTTCCTTCTTAAGCGCGATCGGACGAACAAGATTGATCACGATGGACGATCCAGATCAACTCAAAATAGTTATAAATATTTCGCATCATACGAGAATCTAAACTCTAATCGCCAGCCCCAACCGGAAAAGAAGAACCAGACGCCAAAGAAGGGGGCCAATTGCCGACCCCCGCCGTGCCAGAGCCATCGTCGATCGCCAAAGAAAGTAAAAATTCCTCCTACCCACTCAAAATTCGATTCTAAGTGCCCCTCTAGCCAAATCGGAGCAAGAGGGACGACGAATGAGCCAGAAACTGCGGGCAAAATCCGGTGTAGCCGCCGCGGCTAAAACCCCAAAATCCTTCCGATAAGCCCCTTCTCGATTTCTGTTTTACATGATTTTTTGATCATTGTGTTCACCGTCTTTTTTTGTATAGGGTAGTGAAGAAAGAACCTCAGCCGCGAAGGAGGACCGGTAAAACCGCCGTACTCGGACGTCCCCCCACCGGTAAGTTCGATTTTTTTGTGATTTTTCGGCCAACCAAAGCCTCTAACGTATTTTTCTGCAGGGATATAGCTAAAACTAGCCAAAATCGATCAAGTTAAGGCGAACTGCTGCCGTGGGCGGCAGCGCCGTGCTAGAACCCCAAAATTGGCCGAAATGAGTTTTGGACACCGATTTTAGATTTTCAGAGTATTTTTAGGTATGTGACGAGTGTTTTAAATTCTACAAAAAAAATTAGAAAACTCAGTACCTGTTAGGAGGTGTAGTAGATAGTTCGACATCTTGAAACATCGATTCAAGTAAGAATTCCTCACCATGTTCTCTATTATTGTAAATTGAGGCTTAACGATGTATAATTTTGTATTTTGTAAACAATTATAAAACTCTAAAAATAATTACATGTTACAAGTGGAACCATAATCAATTAGTTCAAAATTGTCTTGATTTTTATTTATTTTTTTGTACTTTCCTACTTACTTAATTTTCGTATAACATATATTTTTAATTTATAGTTCAATAGTCTTATCAACTTATTTGGTTATTTTATTTATATACCATCAACATGAATGTAGTTTAATTGATTTATGAATGTGGTATAAGATATTGGTATGAGTTTGTTAATTATTCGTTGATAAAGATCTATATGTGAAAGACTTGCTGGTTATCTAAAAAAATGGCAAACGGGTCAGGTACATAAGGAATTATACCATGAATGTTACCTCAGTCAGATGGAGCTGAGAAATCCCTTACATAAAAAATTTGGGAGATATGGTTCACCCTCATACTGAATGAGGGATCGATGCGATGAAATGTTTGGTGTCCCTTATCGTACGGGATATGTAGACAGCTGGTTAATTATTAAAATTGGATATTGGGTTCACGAGTATGAGGATATTCCTATGGAACCCCAAGAGTACCAGTAAATAGATAAGAAAATAAAGTTATTGTCCCTTATTCTCTTACTCGTGAAAATAAAAAGTGGTATGAATAAGGGTCTTCATAAGTTATTTTTGAAAAACTAGTTATGGTAAGTACATAATAAACGATATTCTTCATATTAAATGAATTTACTCAAATTAAGTGCTCTATTAGTTATTTTATGATTTTTATTAATCTTCAGTTTTTTATATACGTAATTAATATGATATTTTTACTAGACTGGTGTACCTCACCATTTCATTAACTATTTTAGATCAAGAGGATCAAGATCCAGATCTTGATCAGTAAGAAGGTCGTAAGTAGTTCACTATTCAAACTCTCTTCAAGTGCTAGTGAAGGTTGTCATAGGATATTTAGTTATTCGTTTTTCGTTTTATTTCTTTAAATTCTGTTTGTCTTTTAGAATTGACATTCCCGTAATCCTATTAGGCATTCAAAATTATTGTGTAAAGAATATAAACTCTAACTCTATTAATCGTTTCTGCATTAAATTTATATATTTATTTTCCTTCAAGTTCCAGACCTCTATAAATTCTGATTGCTTTATTAGATTATCTATCAATATAAAAAACTACACCCTCTCATCATATACATGAGTCTCTTTGCATTAAATAGAAAAACTCAACAAGAGAAGCGAAAATATAGAAGTTTAAATGAAAAATATCATAAAAGCAAAAGCTTATAAGCATAAAATATTCAAAAAGAGGAAACATATGTGAGAAGACAAGTTGGGGAAAAAACTCAAGGAAACATAAACGACTTGAT